CAAGCAGAAGAAATGAAGAAGTTCAAGAGCGTGAAGAAGAACAAATTGTTAACTGGGAATATACACAGATTTTTTTTTATAAATACGTGTTTGATGGATATTTAATCATACTAACTGATACTCCGTATTTAATTAGGTATAAAGACAGGGAGAATATATTTGTACACATTTAAATTTGCTAAACTAATTAAGGGGAAATCTAAAAAATTTCAAACTTAAAAAGTGCATAAATGGTGAGAGCCTAGTGTCGTGACGAAGGATCACAAAACTATCAAAAAAATGATCTTAAGAAAAAAAAAAAGAAAAAAAAAGAGGGTTAATTATCTTACCACCCCTGATGTTTGGATTAATAAACCACAGATGAAACTTTTGAAAAAAATTGGTCAGCCTCCCTACCGTTAACGCTAACCTTATAGGACCGTTAACTCTGTTAAATAATTTTTCACAGAATATTGTGCCCTTCATTTTGATAAAAAGACATTAATAATCCTATTTGTGCTTGGGAAATTGTGCTTTATACCAAAATGTAAGAAGACAAAATTACCCCCAATTTACACGTCTTCTCTCCCTCTCAACCAGCATCATCCCTCCACCACTAACAAGTCTCTCTCTATATATGAACATCGACTCCACCACCACCAACTCTCTCTCTATATGAACATTGATTCTACTCTAGAAACGCCATTGGAGAGCACCTCACTTCCAACCATGATTATTGGATGAAATTCAAGATACACTTGATTGAGAAGGGCGGTTGATTGGGTGAGACCTGATCATAATCAAAGACTAATTGAAGCTTCAGATTTTTTTTAACAGATTTAATGTGCATAGGTCTTTTAACAGAGGAAAGAAAATGGAGTTAAAGTTAAGGTGTCTACAAATTTGATTTGCGCCATTTGCAGGTTCGTAGTGTCATACATACCTACATGTTAGTTGAGATCTTGCTCGGCAAGGATGATGGTTCGCTGTCTTTAGTATCAAGAACAAAGCCACGCCTCCCCACAATGTGGTGTCAGATGGGAGCACCTTATACTTAGAAATTGAAGTGATGACTAGCATTTCAAAACCAATACAAATGTCATTTCAAATTTAGTTTTCATATACAAATGTCATTTCAGATTTAGTTTTCATATCAGAAAGGATAAAACATAAATACTTAAATACTTTTTTATGTTTGCTATGATCGAGGGGGACAAACCTTAAACATAAATGTGAAATGTGACTCATATTTATGGACATCCTCACTATGATAATTAGGATACAAACTATATTCTTCTACCATATTCTTGAATCTACAAATTTCAGATTTAGTTTCCATAATTCTCCATCTAAATATATAGAAGCTTTCTATTCTTCTACATTTTTTTCCAATCTACCAATTTCTATCAACTTTAGAATCCTCTCTCTATAAATCTCCATACTAATTATTTAATCTTGTATATTATTGAAATGAATAGTAATTTTTTTTGGTTTGATAAATGACAATATATAAAGCACAAGAGAACAAAAATTGTATACGAGTCGAATTTTTAAGCAAAAAAAAATATTATGACTAACCATATCCGTATTTTTCCATTTTCATTTTTTATGCCAAATTTTTTATTTTTTATTTTTTTAACAAAAAAACGAATTATATCCTACCTTTACAATCATGTATTTTCCCACCTTTCTAGACTTGCTATAACTTCTAAATTTTTGAACTTGTCCCCTGTAATTGCGGAATAATAATCAAACCAAGCAATATGTACACTTGTTGAACTCTACACTCACAGCAATGGAGAGGACCATGTGGTACATAGTGAGTTACTATTTTTGTACATATAATACTAGATGTAATATTATGATTTGGCTTTTTCATTAAATCTGAACAAATATAATATGATTATATTAATGAGATTGAATTATTAACAGTTCCTATTAATTCTGTTTCAAATCCAATTTGCTAAATTAAGGGTATTGAATTTGGATTTGATCAACTTAACTCTATTTCTAATCCAATTTGTTAAATTAAGGGTATTGAATTTGGATGTTAACTGGATGGATAAGTTATTTTTGCTAAATTTTAATATTTTTTTTTTATAAATATTTTACGACAATCAAACACCAGAAAATAAAAAAATATATATATATTTTAAATATTTTATATCTAAACAAATGGAGCCTAAATTAATTGTAAATAATAATAATAATAAATCAGTCTTCTAGTCCCAATAGGAGTTGTTCTCAATTGTTTCTTCCACGTTGGTCATACCAAATGCAAAATTGCAATAATGAATAAGAAGACAATTGGGAACATGGCATTTGTACCATTAATAAATTGCATATGTATCTAGTTAGTACATGCATGTTATTTTTTATTTTATTAATTTTTTATTTTTGGAAAGATTAAGCAAATATGTACTCTTGTCTCTACTGAGACTTGAACTTTTTATTTTTGAAAAGATTAAACAAATTCGTATTCATGCTTTTACTAAGACTTGAACCCGAATCAATGATCGTGGCGCATATGGCATTGGGTTTTCAAAGGAATAGGAAGGTCAGAAAATGAACCATCCACGATCTGATCAAAAACCCATTTGTTAGCTGCCTCAGTGAAGTGTGATTGCAACAGAAGAGTCTTTGCATGACTTGGCCACTAACACTTTGTTTCCATTCACTGTAATCCTTGTTCCACAGTCCAGATGCATGTTGTAGTTATATTTCCCCCATGACCAACCAAGTTACAGAGAGGATTTACTTTCCCAAATTTAAGGGTTTAAAAAAAGTTCTTAATCAAATTGTACTTTAAAAAAGTAACCCTATTCTTGTAATAATAAATAAATTGAAGAAAAAAATTGCAATTGTTAGAATTTATTGCAATGAACAAGCATATTCTGTATTCTTGTCATTTCAATTATTATTTTGAAAGGAACACATCATAAAAACAATCTAACTTTATTGTTAACAAATTGGATAAATTAATTTGCTTTGGGACAACCCTAGATGACCAAAGTAAGAGAACCAAGTGAATGGACAAATCCAAACTTTGACCACGAAGCTTTCAAAGGAAAATAATCCAAACCTCTCAATTAAACTGAGAGCAAGTTGGCCGAAAAAAAATTCTTCCCACTTCTCAACCATTGCAATTAGAGCACAAAATATTAAATGAATTGAATAAATCAATAACAGATAGTGAAATCATAATTATACAACGTTCCCAATTATTTCTAATTTTGAATATAGTATTGCTCGAGCCTCCTGAACTTCTGCTTCTTTGTTCGCCATCAATTATTTTTTCTCCTCGGTGTTTTCAATCTTTTCACTTGCATCCTCATCTGCCTATTTATATGGAAAAGAACCAGAAAACCCACAAAATCAAACCACAAAAAAGGGCCATTTTTTAAAGAGAAAAATCATCAAGCAAAGAACTCTTCTACATTCAGTTCTGAAAAACATCAAGTTCAAACATAATGAATTAAACTTGAAAAACACTTGCCTATTCAATGAATTATATAGAAATCATCAAGAGCCTCTCTAAGCTCCGTATCCTTAACTTGAGTTTTTGGATAAATGGACAAGCGCCCACCCGTTACAGTTAGTATTAAAGACAGACCCAATCTTTGATCCAGTGTCACACCAAGCACCTTGCTAGGAGGGCATCTGGTTTTGCAGCTCGGATAGGCAGGGTGGCTCGAGCTGCAATGAGGGCGTTGCGAGTTTGGGTGAGGGAGAATGTAAAAAAGGTCATTTGTCACACATCGGATCCGGATGAAAAAGTGACTGGGCATAAATGAGTAGGTATGCATATTCCCCAACAATTTAAATTTTTAAATAAATAGACAAGTGCCACTCGTTACACTTAGTCAATTACACAAACATCATTTGTGATAATAAATTAAGAAATTAATAAATAGAATTTTATTTTTATTAATATTATTTTTTTAAAACCAGTCCACCTCCCTAGTTTCTTTATTTATTACTTTTAAAATTTTATAAATAAAGACAATGTATACATGAGTGATTGGACCACACCAATAATCAATATGATTGAAAAAAATATATATATATCAATATGGATTACCTACTTATCCGCGAGTTGGTAAATATTATCCTTCAAAAAATGCAAAAAACATTAAGTTAAATTAAATCCATGCTTTTAAATTTGTAATCTGTTATGATATACATAACCTTAAATAAGCATGTCAACGAAGAAATAAACATATGTTACTTTGGAGGGATGTGAAAAAAAAGAACATTCCATTTTTTTCATGCTATCTGAACTGATAAAGTTTGGCCATTATGCCCGAGATTTGTTAGCAAATCAAACACGGATCTAAATGTATTAGCAAATCAAATTTAGACTTCATTATTTAATTTCAATCAAGTTCTAAGTACATATTTGCGAATTCCCACTTGTGCCCTTTTGACTGACATATTTACTTATTCAAATATCCAATTTTTTTGGAGAGAATTTTACAAGTGATATAGACTTGAGTTGATCCTCCCCGTTTCTTTTTGCTTCTTCTTGTAACTGCCTTTACCATTTATTGTTTATATTAATATACCTTTTTCCCAAAACCAAAAAAAAATTAAAATAATAATAATAAATTGTCTTATTCCTGAATTAACTGCCAGCCCTGAGAACAAGTTTCTAAAATCAAATTTGCTGCCTGGAAAAAACAAACAAATATATATATATATATATATATATATATTAATCCTCAGATGAGGCGGGCCAAAATGAGGAAAATCCTTAGAAAATTCCATTGAGCTTTCGCTAGCCTAAGCTAGGGTGGCCAACTTCTTCAGTGAAGTGTGGTCCTTTCGGCCATTTAAATTGGATTCTGAGACATAAAATGTCCCAAAAGTTTGCAATGAACTAGAGGAGGGTCAATCCAAAAGAAAGAACACTCCAAACTCAGCTGGGACTAGAATCGGTCCAGAGGAAGAGCATTCTGGGTAAAGAGGAAGCTAACCCAATAGACAACTTGTTTCCTGACCTCTAACAAACAGAAACCTGATTCACAGAATGCATCCAATCCGGATTCATTAATAATCCATGTTTGCAGCCAGCGTCTGTTTATGATACATTGATACCGATATTTTGAGCACCACATATTAATCATAATTTACATAATATCATTAATCAACAATAGAAGGAAAAATGAAATTTGAGCTAATGTTCAGTATACAAAACTGTAGTATCCCAGCAAAGGACAGGATCGCATGAGGAGATTGGTTTCATACCTTTGTGGAGAACACGACGTGAGAATCTTCTCAGTTACTTATGCACAAGTTCTTGAAGAGTTGAAGGACACACTAGAAAAGACTAAAGTCGGGATCAGGCTCTACACATGCATGGAGTCAGAGGGTTCTCCCAGATGTCGTAGTTAGGAAATGTTGCTTCAGGCAATCCGGTCCGTGTCTGGTGGGTGACAACCACGTCTTCCACAAAGGTGGCCCAACCCATGTACGGGTCCCCTAAGGATTTTGACATGAGCCCCTTGTCTGGTTTTATGGATTTTTGGCGGTGACCCATGTACCTGCGAGCCCCAATTATCAGTTTCGCAAAGTTGCCTCCATGAGTCATCACAAACACGTCAGACTTCAAGCAGACCAAGAAGTCGAGGGCTGCCAAGCTCGTCACATGCTTCCTGAACCCATCCAACTCCTCCTTGCTTGCTAACTCCTCCTTTGTAACCTGTTAAAAACCTTAAAATGATTAAATATAATCAGAGATGACTGAGCAGGCAATGTCCTACTTGCAGTTTCATCACAACAGATTGCAAATAGTTGGACACCAAGTTAAAAATGCCTTAAATCATGAGAAAACTTCAATACAACTCTTTTGACAGTCATACTGACCACTCTAGCACATTCTGCATGTCACATACAAAAACATACGCAAAAAAATGCAAAAATGTGCGCTTGCATTTAATTCCATGTAATCATATACTTTATTAAGTGGACTCCATGTGTTTGCATGACAAGATTTTATTGGTAGGTGATACTTTGCACTGAAGATGTAATCATCAACGGAAAAATAAACAACTAAAAAGGAATCTACGATTCAGACTTGATCTGGTTAATAAGGCCTTCTCCGAACTAATTTCAGACCTTATTTGATTTGAACAAAACCGAATTACTTTACACCAACAGCTGGTAAAACTATGTAAGATTAAAATGCATAGTATTTTAAAAATCATCAAGTCATTTAAGCTGACATTTTGAAATAGGGAACACGATTTTATTTAACAAGATCCTTTAGCATATATAAATTTGACACCAACAGCCAAACTTTCTTATACTCAGCTGGCAAAAGGAATTTGAGAAGCATTTAGCAAATAGCCTTACTAGATTTGGGAACATGTTCCTGAGAGGGGCCATGCGGTTCTGTCCACCATAAACCTGCCCAGAAGCAACATAAATTTGAGTTTCTTTAGGATAACCCATTGCCCGAAGCATCACTGCAACTTCCCCAGGCTCAAGAGGACACCGTCCTTCCTTCCGCTTCTGCAGAGCCAGTGGCCATAAATGGGAACCATCCTGCCAGCCAAACACCACAGAGGAAAACCATGTAAGACTCCCATGCTTATTTTTCAGTTTTAATCCCAGAAAAGCCAATTAAAGTCTAGGTCACCTTGTAGCGTCGAGGCCATTCTTTCAATCTGTATGCAGCCATCAGTGCTTTCTCCACCCTTGTTCCCACAAAATCACAGAATGATAAGCCTACCATCCCTTTCTCAAACCTAAGATGAAGGGCCCTGTTTAAGAAGAACTTTTAAGACCATGATAACAAATCAAAGAAGAGAGTTAAGCTAAATTTCACAAAATAACATACCCAGATCACTTACATGTATGGATTTGAAAGGCCTGTACGGTTTCTCATTCTTGATGCCAGTTGATCAGCCATCTGCTCAATTTTAGGAAGAAATTTCAGAGCGTGATAGTTTACTTTGCACCGTAGCCTGTTGATTTCTGGAGGAACATTATCATACCTGAAGAAAACACTCTCGATTACAAATCAAGGTTACTTTTTATTGATGAAAGGAAAATTTGTGACAGATCTGAATAAAATGCAAAATTTACCCTAGTCGGTCAACAAAAGGTTTTAAGGCCATTATCCTCTTCTCTTTAATCCGAGGCAAAACATTGTCGATGTAGAATTGTGCTGGAGCATACTTTGGGATGTTTTTCACTGTCCGTCTATCATACAAAACACAAGAGTTTTAAGAGAAATACATGTCATTTGCTATACATACATATTCATAAGAATAATAATACAATATGCAATCAAAAGTTCCCATATCAGATAAACTGTTCAGAGTTTGAACAGGTCTATAACAGACATCACCAACTAAGTAAAAATTTTGCCACAGGTTCTAGAAGTTCCATGAAAGACTTTATAAAGTAGTAAAACATATAGTTTAAAGAAGAGACTCAGCTTGGGATCATCAGAACTCAAAGATAGGAGCCTATCTATCCTCCGATCTGTGTTCGTGTGCACCCCTTACATCATCCACAATCTTTCACAAACATTTATATATAATAATAAGCCTAACCCCCATCAGTCAAGTATGTCTGTTGCATAACCGCTTATTCCACTTCTTTTTTCTATTTTGACATTAGAATTTTTGCAAGTAACCCATTCCTTCTGTTAATTCAGTTCATAATTGGGCCTCGACAACAAGAAGTTACCTTTTCCTATTTTTTAACATATGCAGATCAGTACTCAGTTGTGGAATGTAAAGGTATCGGTGTTATCAAAGGCCCAAGGCGCACGAAAGCGCTAGAGGTCCTTTGGAGCCTAGGCGCAAGGCAAGGCACGTGCCTGAGTGAAGCGAGGTGCACAATTGAAAAATTAAATTACCATTAAAACATATTCAAATTCCATATTAAAGGCGCAGATGTTTTCAAAGTAACACCTGGGCACACAACAGGCGCAAGTGTTGCCCCTGTATGAGCCTGGAGCCTTGGCGCGCCTTAACAACACTAAAAGGTATAATTCAGGTCTGGCCTCTTCAGTGTGGATTTCATATCTAAAGATGATTATACCAGTAAACAATACTAAAGGAGAGGAAAACAAAGCCATCAAACCTTATACTTGTGAACAGTTCTGATTTATCAGTAAACCACTCCGGGATATCACGAACAATTTGCACATCATCCTTCAAGTAGTCAATAAAATGATCCACATCAAATATGTCTTCAAATTTCCTGCATACATTCTTATAAAGTAAGTGTATGTAAAAGCAGGCATTAAAATTCCTAAAATAATTCCTACAGCAGGTCCCTTCTTCTACATAGATCCAAAATATTTCTATTTGTCCCTTCCATCTTTTTTTTTCTCTTGTTTTGATTTTTTTTTTTACACTTCCATCATATTTTGTAATTTACCCTAACCCTAAGGTAACATCAGCCATATATTTGATCACAAGAAATTCATACAAAATTTCAGTAAAACAAGGAATACATAAACAACACATTAGAAGATATTAAATGGACAGAAAAGTGACAAAAAGGACAAAACATACAGCTTCTCTCTCTCCCACATAAATAATTACGGCCGTTCCAGGGCCTTGAATTTTGGGGTTGTCATGACTCATGAAGACACTCCATGTCGACACTCAATTTTGTGTCTGTGTCCTATTTCCCAGGCCAAAAGCCAAAAAATCAATTCGATATGGGGAACAAATATACCAAGTTCACTCACAATTCTTATATTTAACAATTAATATCTCAAAAGAATAAATGGAAGTGGAACCTGTCACCATCAACATGACACACTCTATTCATATTTACTCATGCATGTGTGTGATTGTTTGTTAACTAACCAAAATAGTGCGTATTAAAATAAATAAATAAATAAAAAACCATGTGTGATTGTTTGTTAACTAACTAAAACAGTGCTGCTTTATTTATTTATTTATTTTTTTTGAGAAGCAGTGCTTTAAAAAGTACATCAAGACAACTCACGTTTGGTCTTTCCAGATCTGATCTTGCTTCAACACTGGCAAAATAAGAGTGGCATTCATTATTTTGGCCACAGCAACAGCATTGCATATCTGCATGCAAACACATCCAATATGGTAATTATTTCAACGTTTGTTGTTAGCCAATTAAAATATGATGATTAAGCAAAAGTTCCATAGATATTTCGGTGGAATTGCAATTTCATACAAAATAAGAAACTGCAAGGAACCGAATATGGAATTAGCACTGTGACTAATGTTGGAGAAAGTCGGGGCATACATTCAAGCACAGAAAATAAAAAATTGCTTCAGGGGCAATAAATTAGCTTAAACCACCAAGCTTCTAGCCTGGATGGTATGATATCTCCTCCCCAAAGGGGAGGTTCAGAGTTCAAGCCCCAATAGGGCCATGTTGTGGGTAATGGGTGTTAGAGTTTGCTTTAACGTTCATTGAAAAAAAAAAAAAAAAAAAAAGGAACCTTGAAGGATCTATTTTTATGTGGCAGCACTTGACACACAAATATTGGATGGTTCATCATTGATCATTCGGGAAGGAATTTTATGTTTTCACCACCATATGAGAGGCATATGCATATTCAGTATGTCTCCGTACGCAACATTGCATTCAAAATATAATAATAACTTTAATAAGCCCACCTTACTAAAGGTTTGGCAGAATTCAATTAACTACTTCATGGATGGGATAACACATGCTCATCACTCCTACTGAAAGATCTTTTTTCCCTCTAGACATTCTTGTTCTCCTTTCTCACCCTCTCTCCATTCATTCCTTCTCCTTTCTATTTCTCTCTTCTTACTTTGAAGGAAACTAATGAAGATTCCACTAATTTGGGTATAGGAAAACTCGTTCATAGAGGTTCAAATACCCGCCAAAGCTAGTTCAGATCTTTGGGAAAGAACTTGACACCATGTTGGCTAAGTGGAGGAGCAATTCTCAAGCAGAAGAAATGAAGAAGTTTAAATTTTAGTTGAAGTTCAAGAACGTGAAGAAGAACAAATTGTTAACTGGGAATATACACAGATTTTTTATAAATACGCGTTTGATGTATATTTAATCATACTAACTGATACTCCGTATTTAATTAGGTATAAAGACAGGGAGAATATAGTTGTATACATTTAAATTTGCTAAACTAAATAAGGGGAAATCTAATAAATTTCAAACTTAAAAAGTGATAAATGGTGAGAGCCAAGTGTCGTGATGAAGGATCACAAAACCATCACACCTGTTGTTTGGATTAATAAACCACAGATGAAACTTTTGAAAAAAATTGGTCAGCCTCCCTACCGTTAACGCTATCCTTATAGGACCATTAACTCTGTTAATAATTTTTTACAGAATATTGTGCCCTTCATTTTGATAAAAAGACGTTAATAATCCTATTTGTGCTTGTGAAATTGTCCTTTATACCAAAATGTAAGACTACAAATTACCCCCAATTTACATGTCTTCTCTCCCTCTCAACCACCATCATCCCTCCACCACAATGTGGTGTCAATTATTTGTCACAAATATTTGCAGATGGGAGCACCTTATACTTAGAAATTGAAGTGATGACTAGCATTTCAAAACCGATACAATTGAAGGTGTTAGGTGGTGGACTAGTAGTGCAAGAAGGATTGTTGCTTGAAAAGAGTTTACACAGAGAGAGATATGTTGTTGATAGTGGTGGAGTGATAGAGGCACAGATTGAATTTCATCTAATGTGATTAGGTTGATGCGGGTAAAATTGTCAATCACGTGGCAATTTAACACCATTTCCCTGACAAACTCTGCCAAGGAGTGTTATAGTTATTTACACAAATGTTTCATTTATTTGCTTAAATCTCAAGGGAGGTTAGCATAATTTACCCAGGAAAAAAAAATGAAAACGTTACTTTAAAATTTGTTGAATGAAAATCATGTAGGAAGCTTAGGTTTAGAGCAAATCGGTAACTTAGGCTGAACAGGGAAAATAAAACTTTAGCAGCATTAAGGTGACTGGTAAAAAATAAGAAAAAGAAAAACTGAAACAAAGAATTCTAAGACTAGATGGTATTCATTGTTGAGGCTTGAAAATGTTTAGGAACGACTGAATAGCTTGACTAACAAGTAACAAAATTGTTTTAAAAGATCATAACAAAACAACCATATTTTCCTGACTTAAAAACTTATTCCAGAATAAACAAATAATTGGATCTAGTTAAACTATCAAAACAAGAAAAGCAAAGGGAGTACCTTTTTAGTTCAGAAGAAAAAGAGAAAAAAAATGGATCTAGTAGTTATACTATCAAAACAAGAAAATCAAAGGGATCTCTAATTCAGTGCAATTTAAAAGAACAGAAACATACAGCAATTCTTTGTTGGTTTAGACCACCCTCTGCGTGTATAAATATATATCCATTTGTTTCATTCTCAGGTGGAAGATCTGCAGAGAGTCAATAAGAATTACTGGGCCGTAATGAAGCAATAACTTAAAGATAAATATCAATCTAACATTCTTTTTATCAGAAGAAAACAGGTTGATTGACAGATGAATCTTTACAGACATTTACAGCCTACAGTTACAAATGACTGACTGTTTCATTCTCAGGTGGAAGATCTGCAGAGAGTCAATAAGAATTACTGGGCTGTAAGGAAGCAATAACTTAAAGATAACTATCAACCTAACATTCTTTTTATCAGAAGAAGACAGGTTGGTTGACAGATGAATCTTTACAGACATATACAGCCTACAGTTACAAAGCCAGACTGCTTCAAAAATATACACATGTACAAAACCATGAGACAGTTAATTTAATAACAGAACTTGAACTACATCATTTCAACCAATAATCCAACATGTGTAGAGAACAAGCCCGTGTTAAAATTTACGTCTTCATCAAACCTTCTTAAAATCCATGCAAGTTCACAGCACAAATCAAGATATGAATTTATAGCGTTTTGACAATAATTTAGTATACCAAATACTATTATATATATATATATATTCAACTATGAGGAAATAAAACCTTTGCCTTCAGGTCCCAATCAAAAACCTCTTGGAGGCATATAGCATATTGAGAAGGAGAAAACCAACTTTTTCATTTCATAGATTAAGAGAGGAAGGTGATGAAAATATTGAGTTGGATGTTAAAGGTCATTACAAAAAATAAATATAAACAGATGGGATCTATCCATTCACCCCAAAAACACAATATATGCATACAGCGTGTCAGTACATGAATCACTCCCAGCGTTTCCACCTAAAATTCAAAGACATTATCTTGAGAGCAATCTAATTGTGATTGAGAAAAATCCGACACGGAACTGTGTTGCAATGTGATATTAATAGCTCGTGTATTTCACTAAAGCATTCTACACAACAAAAGGTATGGAAATTTTGCTTAACATTAAGGTTTACTTTTCTTTGGCTTCTCTTTGGACTTTCATTATCATACGTGATATAACTTACCTTTTTTCTCCTACTCAATGAAATTATTCTCACCCATGAGGCTAACACCCTCAAATTATTTATCATACGCCAAGTGTTACCTGAAATTGCACCAATTTGTCGCTCAGCACAAGGTTTCCATGAAGTGGTGGCCGAATAAGGATTCTCCCAGAGTGAGTTACGCTCCTTGACCTAATAATATTACAGATGAAACGTGAAAATGAGTTGCAAAAAGGGTAAGACCAAACAGATTAGAATAACCAAAAGAATTATCTTAAGAGCTTACTCGTGGGCAGTGAAGAACGATGCCATCTTTTCTGCACACGTATGGGGCATTCTGCATTAATTGAAAGAAATAAGAACCACTTTTTTATTTTTTATTTTTGGTAAGTAAGGTTAATGTTAAAAGAACAACCATTGTAGTGGTGACATACATTGAAAGAACAAGCATATTTCCACATATATCAAAAGAAAAAAACATTGTAGGTTAATATTGAAAGAAATAAGTACTACTATTGTAGTGCTGAATCTGGTGACGATACATATGAGGGTGTAAAAACTAAATAATTCAGAAGCTAGTAATCTCATAATTCTCAAATTTGCAAGCATAAATTTATTTACAATCATGCCTATATCAAGAAATAAACTGAGAATATTAATGTATAATGACAAGAAGAATAAGCTTGGCAATTTCCAAAAATATATATATACTGTGTGTGTGTGCGCGCGCGCGCGAAATGTGCGGGGCAAATGAACTGGATCTGCAACAAACCAGAACAGTCAATCGCATTAGACAATTCCCCTCGTGGTGCAAAGATGCACTTAAAAAGAAAAAAACTATGTAACCAAATAACCTAGTATTGCCCATTTGCATCATAGAGAAGCCTACTCTATTGCTCAGATATATCATGTAAAAAAAGTAAATAAACAAATAAACTCAAGATAACTCAACCAGACCAAGTAATTGTGGTAGGCTCAGTCAAGCTACAATCCTGTTCTCTAAGGTTGCAAATCGGAAACCAGACGTAGAGCAGGAATCCACACATCAACACAAAAACTAAATTTTGATATATCAAACTCACTTATTTGACCAAGATCGTCAAAATTTCCACATTTTTGCAGCCAACACTGCAATTGTTTGATCCGGATCACAAAACACAATCTTTAAAAATAGAAAATAATACAAAGAAACATGCACCCTTGTATGAAAAACATAAATATAAATACAGGCAAAAGTTGCAACATCTCCCGAAAATCATTCACCACTAAATAGCATTACAAAGTATATGTAGCTGATAAGAACCAATGTGTGGAACTATGTTTCAATATTCAATAAATCTAATAGAAAGCTCCAAAAAAAAAAAAAAAAAGGTCATACACAACCATATATAACGGATCAAAAGAACAAATATACACTTATATACGCACAACATTTCAATGTTAAAATGACAACTGAAAGGACTCACCAATCGATTCAGGATTGAAGAAATTGAAATCAATACGACGAGGAGGACGATAACCATCAAGAGAACCGAGATCTTGGAATTGTGTGGGAAAACCCTAGTTTCGTCGCCGAAGTAAGGGCGCAACGGTTGGAAATTGGACAAGAACGAGCGGACTCGATCTCTGGAGTGGCGAAAGCGGCCGCCGTCGTCGGGGTGGTTCTCGGGTACAAATGGTGAGGCGACGTCGTCTCGGTTCATCGGAGACGACGTGGATCGGCTGCCGGTGGAGCTAGAGTGGCGGAGCTCCGCCATTGCTCGTTTCGGACTGTACGCCGCCAGCTTTGGTTGCAGCGTCTCTCTCACTCCTCTCCTGTGTGTGCGCGCTTTTTCACTGGTACGGTTGTTTTCAGTCCACTTGACTACCGATCAACTTTGCATTTGTGTTCAAAGTTTCTGAAAGGTATAAATATGCTTACAAAGAAAGAAACAAACAAAAAAAAAAACCGACAGTGGCTTCGCTAATTGGTTTGACAGGGGAAGACAGATGGAGGAAATAAAAGAAGGAAAATGATTTACTGTTTTTAATTGATTATTTATTTAAAAAGTTAAATTAAATTTGAGTTTTTTAAAATAATACAGTAAACGGACTTTGGTCAAGAATCCAGTCATATCAAGCGGGGATGGGAGAATTAAATTTTTAAATTATAAATAGTAAGAATTTAAAACACGAAAATAATAAAAACGTACTTGTAACGTGGGAATGATATTTATTAAAAAAAATTGTGTAAGTCAAAAATAAAAAAACATAATAACAAACATAAGCTAGCTTTTTGAGTTCATATTTTCAAAAAGGAAATGAAGCTGAACTCATGAAATGAGTGGGTCTAAACATAATAAACTCATATCGGCTGAGTTCAATTACAATTATGTTATGCACTTTTTGAGTGGCATGGGCACGAGGATACCATGTGTAATTTTGTGAATAAACGGAGACTTGTTTGTAATTATCTACTATTATATTTTAAACCGAATGTTTTGGTTCTCACGACATTTTTTAGAAAGAAAAAAAAAAAAAAGATTTCAATGAACAAAATAAAATATAATAGTTTTAAAGTGATAGTAAAGTTTAAAAAAGACAATAGGCTCCCGTGTAATTTTTTTTTGTCTTTTTATTGTCATAAAATATTTACGAAAAAAATATATATTAAAATTTAATTAAAATAACTTATTCATTCATTTTTGACAAGTTATTTTACGTGTTTCACCCAATGAACTCAACCTCAATTTCGACTTAAATTTTTACCAAATACCAACAAAATAAAAATAAAAAAAAATATTTTATCCGAAAAAAAAAAAATCCGAAAATAATATTTTAAATTGAAACAAATAGAACCTTAGTCATAGTGACCATTTGGGACTAAATTCCATTAATACCCTTTTATAATCGAACACCATGTGGTAGCTATATCCTCTTATTTAGGGAGGGAGTCATAGAGGGCAGAATGCAATAAAAAAAAAAAAAAATTCTTCTATATTCAATGACAGTGTTTGAATTTCCTATTTCAATTTCTTCTTCACCATTTTCAACTTAGAAGAACAAAAATAATTATATAGTATTTTCTCAGTCTAAAAAAGATATTTTATCTTTAAAAATGTGACACTTTCTAAAAAAGAGACATTATATTTTGAATGGAGGAAGTGTAAAATTATTTGAATAAATAACCTCAAATAATCCTAAAGAGCAATATAATTTAGAATTGGCAAGTATTTATTTATATTTTGGTAATTTTATGATCACTTTATAGGTTATTATATTTGATTTTGGTCGCTAAACAATAATTTTCCTTTTTATTAATATATCCATTCATCCCCATACTGTCACTGTATCAGTTTCGTCTGCAAAACCACTTAGATAAAACCCTAACCGAAAAAGGGGAAGGGAAAAACCCCAGAAATGAACCCAATTGCGAGGCAAATGTGGACGGTCTTCCGACGCCCAAGCGTCGGGTTCAACTCACTGAGTTCGGAGCTTCAACAATGGCGGGGGATTCGAGTGCAGGTTCGAAACAACAACCTGGAGCAAGCCCTAGCGTTCATGCAGAGGAAGATGCAATCGAGCGGGATCGAATGGATGATCAAGCGCCATCAGTCTCATCACCTCAAGAACTCGGAGAAGCGCGTCTTGGCTCGCAAGAACCTCGAGCGCAGGATTCGATCCCAAGAAATTGCTCGGAAACTCAAGTCCGTACTCATCCGGAAAGTCAAGTAAATATCGACCTTTGTCTAAATTCTCTAATTGAATTAAACCCTTTTTTTTTTATTCTTTAATTTTCGAAATTCCTCAAAATTTATTCCTCACAAATGCAAGTAAAACAGTTTCTGTGATTAATTATTCAGTTGCTTTAGATGGAGAAGCACATACATAATCTAAATTGTCTATTTTTTTAAACCCAATTTATTATTCTTTTATTTTTAAAAACCTCAAAATTTGTTGTTGACAAATGCAATTAGGGCACTTTCTGTGATGAGTTTTTCAGTTGCTTTAGATGGAAAAGCATAACATATATTTTTTTTGATAAGTATAAAAAGCATAACATATATGATCTAAATTGTCTATTTGAACTCAACCCTCCTTTTTTTAAATTCCTCAAAATTTATTATTGTTGACAAATGAAATTAAGGCATTTTGTGTGATGAACCAATTCAGTTGCTTTAGATGGAAAATCAGAACATACATGATCTAAGTTGTCTATTTGAATTAGACCATGTTTATTATTTTTAAAATTCCTCAAAATTTATTGTTGACAAATGAAATTAAGACATTTTCTGTGATGAACTTTTCAGTTGCTTTAGATGGAAGAGCAGAACATACATGATCTAAATTGTCTATTTGAATTAAACTCATTTTAAATTTTTTATTTTATTTTTAAAATCCATCAAAATTTATTGTTGACAAATGCAATTAAGGCACTTTCTCTGATGAAATTTTCAGTTGGTTTAGATGAAAAGGCAGAACATGGGTGATAGAGAAACTTTCAATGATTTATTTTCATTTACAATAATCAAAGAAAATAAATATTTTTGAAAAAACAAATATAAATAAGCTTTGAAATTAACCAAATATGTTGTAAGCTATGAAATATTGTAAGCTAATTCATGATATTTAATTGTGAACTAATCTCATTACGCTGTGATAGTCTTTTGCATATATACCACGACATGCACACAGACACACATATATATTCTGGCATGAATGGCAGTAGTTCAGTCTTGCCTAAGTGAAAAAAATTATCATAGTGACTAGTGAGAAATCGCATTCTGAAATTGGGGCAGAAAATTCTGCAATTTTACAAAGAGCATTTCAGGAAACATGAAAGTACTTAGATTTGTTCTGGAAATTTTTTTTAAAAAAAAAAAAAAAAAAAAAAAACTATTATCAATTCCAAAATTCATGCAGTATGCTTTTCCTCAAGTGGCTAATTCTTACACTGATGCTTTTATTGTTTCACATAATAATTCACGAACATCTCTTACAAGTTTTTTCAAATACATGGTGAAAGTTCCATTTTGGGTTTACATAGGTATGTTCATGTTCTTACTATTGTTTTGCTATACTTCTCGTCAATTCTCCTATTCATTGAATATGAAACCATTTCCTGCTCTTGTGACCTTTGTATTCTTTTGGACTGTGTTTCTAACCTCAGTTTCCTTTTTTTTTTTTCCCCATTCCCGGATTATTTGTAACTGCATCCATTGGTTTTCAGTCCTGCTGTTTTGTTGATACTCGTGAAAGATCTAAAATGCATCACTGTCTAGAATTCATTATATAGCCAACAGAAGTGTAATAACTGCTAGTGGCCCTGAGAGTTAGAACTTAAGACACTCTTTGTAGTCGTCTCACAAATCTCTCAAACAAAATTGGTAAAAATAAATGTATATTACAAAGTAAAGCAAAGATGTGACTGCAATGAAGTTTTTTGCTGGACTTGCAAAATAATAACTTCTACATGTGCCATTGCAGGAACTATCCTATGTAATTGTTTATGCTTCATTAAGAATCACCTTGGACAACTGATATTTGAACTTGATTTTAGGTTGGAAATCAGAGGCAACATGTAAAGCTAACTCTTATCACGTCTTTTAGCAGGCGGAAAAGAGCCTAGCTTATTGCCCCTCTAAGGTTCAATTTCCTCCTAGTTCACAGGAATTTACCTTCCACATATTACTTATAGGTTTCTTTTCCTTGGGGCTTATGGAATTATGGATACCTAGGATTCTTGCTAGTTGCTACTTAGACTCTTTATCTGGAGTTGAACTTTTTTGGGTTTTCCTTTAAATACGAGTCACTTATCAAAAAAAAAAATACGAGTCACATAGGGCTTACCAAAAAAAAATATGCTATATGGGTATTAATAAAATTTGTAGAGTTTATGATGTGATTAATTTGTCTCTTTTGAATTGACCACACAAAGCAACTCCTCTCATGCTGTCTTGCGTATATGAGGATGGGTCTCAAGGACTATGATCATATTCACTCTTGTTGTGTTTCTTTATAGGATTACATTGGGACTTGTGTGGTCCCTTGGGTGGTATGTTTTATGTACGTTTCATTTTCTTTTTCTCTTTCCTTTCTTCTGGTTTCTTTTTTTCTGTTTGGCTCTCAGGTGTTGTTGGTTTTAGACCTTTCAATAAATTCCTTTAAAATCTAATTTTACTGGGATTTTGAAAATTGATTTCTTGTGTGTGCTGATGCACTTGACTGTTATATGTGCAGGGGTATGTGAGAGTAGTTCTGGAGGAGGTATTTTCTTGATTGTTGCTGCATGCAAAGGGGCTCTGTATGTTGCTGTTGATTTGCCAGTTTGTTTTTTAGAACTTCCATTCAGTACTTCCTTATTTGTAATAGTTGAACCAAATACAATTCCGCTGGTTTCCCAAAGAATATGAGTCATTTTGGCATTGGCATGCTAACACTGTGGACCCGTCCACTTGGGAAGAGTATGTATTATGTACTTGCTTGCATGTTCCGTATTTAGCAAGGAATTGCGCCAATGTTAATAAAGTTTTTTTCATTTGTACTAGGCTTTTTTATGAGTAAATCAACATTTTGCACAAAACCTGGTCTGTATACATTGTGATTGAAGGAAATTTTTCATTTATTTAACATTTTCTTGTTGCTGTTCAATGATAGTGACTAGGGAGTCGAATTTGCTTATGGTCCTCTGCTTGAAACAGGTTTCCTGTGCCATATAGAAGTGTGTATCTGAAACAAGCATTTGTCCAATATTTTGTTTTTCTAGTGGTATTAATATTACAAGTGACTTGTTTCTCTGGAATAGCACCTAACTTCTTCCTAAGCACATTCAACTTTTGTGGAGAACCAAGAAGCATGTGTAGGCAATTGTGGATGGATATATGATTTCATAGTTGCGTTGCAGAGCATTGAATTGGCATTTTTCATTTGTCTGATAAATAAGTTTATGGGAAAATAAACTTATTAGTTGTTGATATTAATTCTTGTGAGAATATTTTTTCATCACTTCTATGACCTGATCTTGAGATGATTATGCTTGGCAGTCATTCAATACTAATTATGCAATTCTTTTTTTCTTTTTTTCGTTTTTTTTTCTTTCTTGTGCTCGATATTATAACTTGAATGTGCTGCTTTGACTTGTGGGACTATATTGCATTTGGGATCAGGATCTTGATCATTAGTTCTGGCCTTTTTTCCTCATGATATGAGAAGAAAATAAGTATGGAGAGCATAGCTGAAACTTTTTGAGAATATTGCTGAGATTGGTTTTCCTCAATTTAGATGGAAATGTCGAGAAAACCCATGATCCACTTGATTTTTATCACAAGATTGGAGTTTTTTTTTTATGTAATTTTTGGTCTGGTTAATTGTTATATCTTCTTGGATTCCTCTGTTCAATTGTCAAGGGTTTGCTTAGCTATAAGGTTATATGATTAAAGTCTGAGTTTTCTTTGTTGAAGATAATTGGGGGAAGATAAAGTACCCAAAACATTGTTGTGTCACAAAGTCTTACCCTGCGGAGGTCACATGAGATCATATGTGATGATTCAATTGAAGATGATGAAAAGCTCGAGGCCTGATCTGTCAACAATGGTGGAAGAAATGCATATGCCTACTAGGGTATTAAAGACAATCAGATTATTATTTTCTTAATAGGCATATTATTATGCCTGAGCAAACTCTGTTTCTTCATTTTGGTTTATGAACCTTTTTGTCATGAGGACTATTGTTAGAGGTGTCCCACGGCGGAGTCGGATCGGGATGGGAAATGAAATGAGTATATATGGGTGAGTATGTAGCACTTTTCAATAATTTAAGTTTGGACCAGGATAGAAAGTGAAATATGCATATATGGGTAGATATGCAATACACAAAATTGGGATCTTGTATTTAAAATTAGGGAAATTTTAGAGTTATTCTATTACATTCTAGTTGAAATGAAAAGTTAAAAAGATAAAAGAATCAATATGATATTTTGTGAATTTGTGTTTGTCAATATAAATAAAATCGTCCCCTTTGTTGAGCATTAGAGAAAATTTATTTCACTAAATTAGCATTTTGTATTTAAAATTTAGAAAAACTAGTTAATCAATTCAGTACTTCACACAGCAGTCGATCACTAAGTGTAATTTTTCGAATTACTATTTGACACATAAATAAAATAATAATAATAAAAAAAACATAAAATCTACTGATTTATAAGGAATAGCCCATGCAGCTCAATTAGCCAGTTGGTGCTGTGTGAGGTTACCCACACTTGGGCCTCGCACGCCTGCCGGCCACACGGTTAGCTACATATAGCAATCATTCGGTTCGGCTAGTCACATGTAAAAAAAAAGGTTGTACAATTAATATATAAAAAATTAATAAAATTAATAAAATTAAAAGTGACTAATTCAGCCAATTATATATTGCAGGTGACCTGATAGGCCACAATTTGATATAACCATTGCTATTTTGGTTATTCTTACACATTTTTTTACCTGTCAAATCATAAAATAAAAAATAAAAAATAAAAAAAAATCATAATTGATTTAGGAACAATGAAAATGATGGGGACTATGTAATATTGTAATTTATAGGAAAAATAGAAAAATAAAGCATACTCCGTAGTGCGTACAACCTCCTGTAAGGTTTATGTTCGGGACTCGGGGTTTAAGAGGCCGAGACTGAGCCCTTTGTTGCCAAGCACCTCTCTCTCTCTCTCTCTCTCTCTGCATGTGTAATGGATTCCGTAAGGCTTCGTTTGGCATTCGAAGATCGTCACATTCTGAGCAAGTCGCAGAAATCAAATGGACTCAAGCGAAGCTGGCTTCTTCTCAAACCCCAACTCGAGACTATCTCTGACCTCTCCTCCCATCTAATCGACGTTTTCGACCTCGATCGCTCTTGTCCTAATGGCATTCTCCTCTCTGTAAGTTTCCATCTCTGTAGCCCTAATTTTCAACTCGATCAACTTAACATTCAATCGGTTCAATATAGCATATCACAGCAACAACTTTGGTTTTTAGACTCTTGTTGATGTATTTTCTTTCACATTCTATTATTGATTTGGGATTAATGGATGGGTTCGTACTGATACTGTTGTATGGTGAAGGACATGCAAATATGACTATATTGGTGTTTTGGGAATTTTTGTTACACAAGTGCTCAATAAGCTTAAAACAACCCGCTAGGGTTGTGATCAAGCTGTCACTACTCTGTTCAGATTTCTACTCGTTTAATTTTATGATTTATCTGTATTTATTAAACCAATTGGTCCTTGAGATATATAACAACTGGAATGCTTTTGGGTTTTAGCAATTAAGTCAATTTGTGCATTGTTATTTTTTATTTTCTCTTGCATCTACGTTGTTGAATACAGGACCAAACACATTTTTGTTATATTCTTGCAGATGGATGGCTTTGTGTTGCCACTTTTTGAGTCGACTTCTATTTTGAAGGATAAAGATATAATCAGGTCAGTTAAAACTCGAATTTTGTAATTTTTATACTGGTTACACTTTTTTGACAACTTTTGTTGAAAGTAGAGTATGTTGTTGTATTTTATGTGTTGCGTCAGTGTGAAAAAGAAAGGAGCTCTGTTGTTGTCGGATATTACAAAGTTAGATGATGAGGTGAAATTGATCGAGGAAGAAGAAATTGTGGAAAAGCAACCTGTACATACTGGTTTGCTACTTTTAGCAAATGAAGAGTTTGAACAGGAGTCTGGTGGCTACCAGAGTGAAACAGAAGAGGATGAAGACAACCAATCAAAGGATATATTGCTTGAGGAAAATTCATCGGGCAGAAACGTAGCTTCCAAGAAAAGAAAAGCATCACCAAAACTTGAGAGCTCAACGTATGTCTTGCATTCCATATATGGACCTTATTCTCTTGATATATATGATATTTGCACTGTTATATCTATCTCATTATCTGCAGATTCTCTTATTTATGTTTGCAAACAAACATGCGCACACACACACATACATCCTTGATTGCTGCATGCATCATTTAAATAGTTCTATTAGGTAGTAGAGCTGAGTTGGATGAGTAATGTAATATCATTATCCTATTTATAAAATTTACAGAAGAGTAATGAAAAGAAATATTTGTGGTGCAAAATATCAAGCCATTTGGTTCCATTATGAAGTCAACCTCAAGAGGTAGTTTATTCAAAATTTTCTTATCTGGTTCTAGGATTGGGAAGGAAGAAAAATCCATATGAGTAAAGCTCCTTTTGGAATAATTTGATGGAAAATTTCAATTAGAGATAATTACTAAAATCCCTATGGTTCCTTCAATAATGTGTATTGTTTTGAAGTGACAATGTGTGATGGACGCGTTACCCAAAACAAACTAGAGATCCCAGGTGGACTGGGTTTGGTGGAACTTGGAAGCTAAGGTTGGCTTGTTAGAGAGAATGAAGCTAGTAGTGAAAAGGTCACCACTTACTCTGTGAGGCCGAAATCCCATCCATTGTTTTCATTTGAATATCGAGAACTATTATTTAAGTACCATGGACACATACATGCTTGACACAGATATGTTTGACTGCAGAATCCTAAAAAATAGTACACAAATACGTTGCCGTGGACACGGCTATATATAAATATGAATTTTTATTCATATTCATTTATTAATTAAGAGTATTATAGAACTTTAATTTCGATACTAAGAGTTACTTTGACATAATTTAGAAATGAAGTTATGCAAATATTGTAATGATTGTTATATCATATGTGCTACTATTCCACTACTTGTAATCATAATAATGTTATAGTCTTATATGAAAATGTTCACGGTCTGCTTGATTTGTGACCATGTCTATAATGACAGTTTCTCTTAAATAAAAAATAAGTTGGATACTTTGAAACATGTTCATATAATTTTCAAGGTTACTGAGCATGACTACTTTAGATATGTTTCTATTATACACGACTTGTGTTATAGATTTTCTGGGAAGTGTAGGCCAAGTATTTGAGAAGAAAGACAAGGAGCAGTAGTAGAGGGGTTGTTAGACATCCCATAAATGGGGGTCTTGTGCCCTTTGTATAGTGTTAGAAGAGTCCATAACTTTTGGGTAATAACCAAGGTATAATACTAAGGACCAAATACATGTGGGACCATTGATTGCGATTGGACAATTTCTAGATAGTTAAACTCTGGAGAGGAGTATGTCTGTTGGGAGTCAAAGTGGTCTATCTCTCTCTTTAAGTTAGGTTGAGGAGGACCACCCTGTGGAGGACCTCAAGAGTAACCTCAAGGAGAGGCCATCCCATGGAGAACCTTGAGGAGGACCTTAAAGGGCCACCTCACTGTGTACCTCAAGGAGCCACCTTGCACAAGACCTCGAAAGGGATTTCAAGGAAGGATCACCCTGCCGAGGATCCCCTGTGAGAGGCAGCAAGGAGTACCTTAAGGAGGGATCATCTCAACAAACCCTGTACTTCAGCCACCAGGCCAATTACCTCTAGGATCCCAGAAATTTCCGAGTTCTACTCCTAGCTCAAGTCTTCAAGTAGTTGATGTTCTTTTTGAGGTTTATCTGTGAGGAAGAAACTCCTCGAGAATTTTCAAGTGAGCCTTCTATGATAAGAGGTCCTCGAGAAGAGGTCCCTAGAGCAAGGCTTATTTGGTGAGAAGAGGTCCTTGTTATGTGTTTATATCCACAATGAGGCTTATTTGAGGGACTGAGGTCCTTATAATGGTAATTGGTAAGTGCCTAAAGAAGGCTGGGGCTCCATTGGAGTTCATAAAAGTCAGCTTGATGAGGGGTAACATGGAGATCTAAGTCAACATGACGACTAAATAGTTCTCTCTCTTTCAAGACGCATATGTGGCAATGCGTGAATACTAGATACCTACAGTCTGAACAGTATGTTCATCGAGGATTACTAAATCTCGTTTTAGGGTTGGAGTGTTGGAAAGTAAAATGATGCATTTGAATAAAGCTCCTTTCAGAATGATGTGATGGAAAATTTCAACTACAGATATTAATACAATCTTGCCGAGTCACTCATGAACTAACTGATCTTTCTTTCCCCTCCAAAAGAAAACCTTAATTGCCTAACCTTTTATTATTTGTTAAAATTACATGTCACACCTTACTGAAAAATGAAAGTACTCAAACACATGTATCATTTTAAGTCACTCATAACTCGTCACCAACGTGAAGCATTTGGTTTTAAGATGGTTGATTGTTTAAACTTTCTGTCATGCTCAAAAAATTATGGGGTGGTAGCAAAAGTGCAATGCATAGTATATTTTGCACAAATTGACCAGAGACAGAACTATGAGGTGATAAAATTAGCTGTCATGCTCGTTAGTATATTGTGCGTGATATTATGGGGTGATAAAAAGACCAGAGAGAGAATTAATCTTAGGCAAAATTTACCTGTGTCATATTTTGCACCAATTGGCTACTCAGTGAACTTTATTTTCCAATTTCCAGATCTACATCGTAAGCTGAATAATTTCTTACTGTATAAATTTACTGGAAATGAAGGAAAAAATGTACATTTATTTCGAATCATAATATGTATCTAATACCCATTACCTTTATTAATCCAATATAAAATTTTATATTCATCGGGTTCATAGATGTCTCTTATTTTGGAAGTTCTTGGTGTATCCCCAATCAAATTGTTTTGACAATTCTTAGAATTCTATTTCCACTTTCTAAGTATGTCATTCTTTTTTATTTTCCAAATCATTGTTTTTTTTTTTTTTTTTCTGTTGTTGTTTATCAAATCTAAAATTAGCATAATTATGCCTCCTCTCGGTCCTTTAAGAATTTTCTATGAGCATTGATGGGCCTTCTAATCACTTGTTCATTTTTATAAATTACAGGAGGAAGAAAAAACGTCCTAAGGTTCCTGAAGCTGTTGAAAGTGATGTTCAGACAGAGGAGATTGAAAACTTTCACCATCACACAGTACGCCCTGGGAAGATTCATCACAAGAAGAAGAAAGAATCTGATGCAAACAGTAAACCTGACATAGCAAGTACCCCTAAAATTATTGAAAGAAGCGATAGCGACTGTATGCTCAGTGCAAAGAGGTAGTTTGTAGCTTCATTGGCCTCCCTGCATGCAGTACTTCGTTATTTATATACTTTTATTATTTATGAATTTATATATTTATCTATTGTTTTCATGTGGTAGATTTGGACAATGCTGGGCTATGGTTGGACAGTAATTGACTCTGTCAATTCAATGTACTCTTATTTGCTATTCCTGTACGTTCTTTGTGCATAGTTAGTGGGATCTACACTGCGGAGTTAGCCAAGAGTTGTATGAAATTCTTTTATGTAGCCAATGGGCTTCCCTATTTATTCATGTATTTTTCTAGTTATATTACATCTCAATTCATATTAGAAACACGTATATGCACACATTGTCTTGTGAGTGGAAGAGAAAGGGAGATGGAGCTTGTCTACATTGGTTTCTATATTTTCCGTAAGAACAGTTGAGATTTACTCTCAGAAAGTGTAATCCCTAGTTCATATTGGAAACACGTACCTGCACACACATTATCTTGGGGGTGGGTTATAGAGGGAGAGGGGAAGAGAGCTTGTTTACAATGATTTTTTTTTCCCCCCCTGAATTTGTTTACAATGATTTGTTTTTGTGTATGAATGATGCACGTATGTAGAAGATACAATTGTCGTGCATTCTTCTTCTCCTCCTCTTTTTATCCTCTTCCCCGCTTTCCCTCTAGCATAATAATATTCTTATGCATCTCTTGTTTGCAGGTGTGGTCAGCTTCAAGAAAATGGCACAGGGAATGTGGAAGTCCCCCACAAGCCTGATGCAAGTAAAAAGGTTTGTAAGACCGATATAATTAGATTTAATATTTTTCCATCAATATGATTTTTTACATATGAAAATGGGATATTCTTTCATAAAGCATATCATTATTTGAACATAAGGATTTTCTAATGGCTAAAGCAGTGGTAAAGTAAGTTGTTCAATATGCAGTATATGGTATTCGCGAATAGGTTTACAATATGCAGTATGGTGTAAGTGGTTTAGTATTGATTGTGTATGTATACTGTATACTGTAACTTGATACTAGATTACTTGTTCTCCTGCAACTATACCTTCATACCTTGTGTTGGGAGATCCATTTTCTTCATAGCCATCTTGTCCCAATCTTGATTCACTAATCTTTGCTCTTGTCTCATATTTCATTCCATTGAAGGTTTATAGATGTCTCTACAGGTCTGATTTTCATGTCTTATATTACCTCGGGGTTTTATCTGAGATTGTATGTTGATGGACCATCCTAAAGCCAAAGGTGGCTGCTTCTATGTTACATGGACTTGGGTACATGTGTCGGGTGCGAATATGTATCAAAATATCAGACGTATCAACTCACACTGCTAAATATTCATATTATTTATTAGATATTTTTTATTCTAGAGTTACATAATGCCTTTTGATAACAGTGCTCAATATAGACATTTCACTGATTTTTAAGCAATAATATAATAAAATTAAATTATAGGATATGATTTTTAGGTGCATGTCCAACCAACAGTGTCGGACACATATCCTGTACCCACGTTCGAGTATTGTGTGTTTGACACTGGTACTTCACCTACTTTGAAGAGTCCATGTATCATAGGCTGCTTCCTACTCTGCAGTGTGAATGTGGGATATTTCCTGTAAACTTTAACCACATCATGGTAGCACTATTTTCTAAAAGGCTTGTTTCAATTGAACAAGAAAAATAATTTTATTTTTTTCCTTCTAGCAGTAGGGATGTCCTGTAATTATTTCCTGAGGTTAGGCAGTTTGAGCCGGGTGACAAATTTAAATTCTCAATGTCAGTTTGAGCAGTTTTATATTGCCTAAAGGATTTGCATAATCAATTTCTCCTTTCTCAAATAATTTTCATTGCAATCTCACTTGATGAATCATTTTTCTGGTTCGTTTTTGCAATGGTCAACTTACAGATAATTACTGCATACCTCATCCTTTATGTCAGGCCTCTAGTAGAAGTGCTCGGCGGAAAAAGGCCAAGAGGCAATGGCTGCGGGAATTAACTAAAGCTGAAAAGGAAGAGGTAGTTTGTTGTTTAGAAATTGTGATAGTTTTTCCTCCATTATATGAAGATTTGTCTTACACAGCATGACAGAACCAACACACCGCCCCACCCCCCCCCCCCCCCCCCCCCCCCCCCCAAAACCAACACAAAAAAAAAAAAAAAAAAAAAAAGGAAGAGATAAAATGATATATATATTTATGGACTTGTACTCTCAATTTCACAGCTAAGGCGGAAGAAGCCTGCTAAGAAAGACATGCATAAAAGTTCTACGGGAGGAAAAGGTCTGAGGACGTTGTTCCCAAATCAAAATAGTGATGTGGAGGATGAGATTGTTCCTGCTAAGAAAGAAATGCATAAAAGTTCTACAGGAGGAAAAGGTCTGAGGACGTTGTTCCCAAATCAAAATAGTGATGTGGAGGATGAGATTGTTCCTGCTAAGATAGAAATGCATAAAAGTTCTACAGGAGGAAAAGGTCTGAGGACGTTGTTCCCAAATCAAAATAGTGATGTGGAGGATGAGATTGTTCCCGTCGTGATTAGGCCTGGACATATACGCTTCGAGCCTCTGGGAGAAGGTCTGATACCCCCCACCCCCTTATATATATATGTTTGTAAATATGCATATCTATCTATCCCTTTATGTTTTCATGTATATGTCTGATTAACCAAGTTTTATCTGATTGATGAGAAAATGAGGAATCAGGAAGGATTGGCTATCTTGATTTATTTGGTGCAATCTGCAGTAGTGTAAGGCGTTTTATTGCTGCTTTGACACTGCTTCATTAGCCTGTCTTGTAACTCCACTCCATTATGCTTTTCTGGAAGCTTTATCTACTAACAGACCCGTTATTGTGAGTTGAAGCCTTCACTACAGGCATGGAGAGAGTTAAGTTGCACTAGAACTTACTGGGTTGAGTTACTTCAGAGAAAGCTAACCCTCAGATTTTCTCTTCATTATACCATGTCATTTTCTTTTGCTTTATTAATGTACTTTGAAGTCTAAACTAGAGTAGACAAGAAACTATTTTCCCCGTGTATGCATTAAGCCATTAGATCAGAATTGCATTTCAAATGATACTTTCTTTATCTTCTTGCTTTCTTGAGGAATTCTCTTAAAAGATGTACGAGTAGGGTAGCTGATATTAGAAACTTGGTAATTGGTTTTCTAGTGCATAATAGAAAGTGCTCTGCTTGGGAAGCCTAAAACTGATTTCAAGTGAGGACAAGGTTGATTAATTTTATTTTGGCTTAAGGTTGACGAAGTCACTAATTTCTGGATTGGTTCAAGTTTGCAATAGAAATGAGGTAGAAAACAAGCATTTATTTGTAACCGAGTGTTGATTTTCATTGGAACCAGATAAGAAAATAAGTTTGGGATCTGGCTTGAATCACTTCTAGATATTCCCAAACATCCCCTACATATGATTTGTATATACAAAGACAATGATGCACGCAAGGTGGTTCGAATACAGAATGCATAAATGAAATAAATGTGATTGAAAAAAAAGGCATATTTCAGAACTGCAGTCCTAAGGCAGTATAGTTATGCTTCACGACATTAATCTTCTCAAAGTTTTGGCTGCCTTCCTTTTGATTGTTTTTTCTGTCTCTTTCTTTCTTTCCTTTTTTTTATCTTTGGTGGGTTGTTGGGTTTTAGTTGTGAAATTTGTGCAATTATATGCATGGCAAATTACTGTGAAGTTTGTGATATGTCGAAATTGTTGTAGTGGATGCAGAGAAGACAGTCCAGCAAAATCAACAAAATCAAGTATCAGTGGTATGTTTCATATTTGTTTTATCTTTTAAATTGACCACCTCTGTGGATGCTGTGTTCTCTGTGCACTTATCTTGAATCATAACTTTTTCCTTTTTACGATACTGTTGTTGGTTCTCCAGCATGCTTGTTTGTTCTTTAGAGCTGCCTTGTTCTCTACCTCCTATCCCCCTTCAACCAAAAGTTTATCCAAGTTATTAACAGCTCCATTATGAAAGTAGTTCACCAAATGGCTATATGTGGCTACTATTTTTTCTCTCTTTCAATTTCTTGTATTTTTTCATTGTCATTGATATATATATTTATAAGAAAGAACAATGATGTAATAATAGACAGTGTCATTGATATTGATTGAAGAATCTGAAAAAGAAAACTATTGGATGATGTTTTGGCTTAAGTAGACTGATTCAATCAGATGGTTCATGGCTTGTATTTTTCTCGGTGTTTGTGCAAACTGTTGAATTGTAAGAAGTTAACTTACTAAAAGAGTTTTTAATTATTTACTTAATGTTTGTTTTAGGGTTTCTCATTGTTACTAACTTTTTCGCATACTCTAAAGACGTATGTGCACTCAATAAGACAATTTATTGTACTCCCTCCCGCGCAAAAGAAAAAATAAAAATAAAATGATGATCCTTCTATGAGGGTCAGCCACCTTCATGGGGTACTTCTGGTGTTAGCCAATGCAAAAAGGGCAGAGGCCCTACCTGTATTGTGGGATTTGTCGGACCAGTGGTCCAGATACCTTATCAGGAAAAACGGACATTAGATCTTCAAAATCATGCCTATTTTGACTTGTTTAAGCTGTGTATTGTCAATCGATTGTCTAAATGAATAGATCTGTCCATCAGTTGGCATATAAAGAACCCGGACCCCATCAACACTGATGATGTCCGATTTTTTGTTAGCTGTTATAATAATCTGATTCATTTATCTTAATGTTATATCGTTTTTATTCTGAATATGTTATATTTTGAAATTGATTGAATATCTATGGAAGTGTAACAATTCCTCTTCTTGAGTCTTGCTTAGGGAACATCTCAGTGGAATGGAATCACCAGTAAGAAAAAGGGTCAAAAATGGGGTAAAGAAAAAAATTCTTCCTCTTGGAGTGACTACAAAGATTTCAACAAAGAATGTTCTGAACCGCAGACTATTGTGAAGGAGGTGGCTGTAAATGGTCCCACAGACTTTGATAAGCTTCCTCCCTTTTCTGGCTTACCTAAGGTTTGTTGTTTCATGTCTTCAATGTTTTTCCTTCTCTTAGTTAAGACTCGTGCAGGCAAATGTTTTAGAAGATTGACTTGTTTGGTTTGAATAAAATTTTATTGCTCCAGATAGCAGTCGAGTTCTCCTCTCCTTTATGTTTTGTTTTATTTGCAGGAAGGTGATGTGATTGCATATCGATTGCTGGAGTTATCATCAACCTGGACCCCTGAACTTTCCTCCTTCCGAGTACGAATTCTATCATCCCTTTGGTGATCTACTCAAAATTTAGGCACATACAGTATCAGTGTGTTGTTTTAACATGTTCTTTCTGCTGTAGGTTGGGAAAACATCGTTGTATGATTCTGAATCCAATAGGATTGTACTAACACCAGTCCCAGAATATCCAGTTGTTCTTGAAAAGCAGGTGGATGAGGAAGCATCTGCACAACAACCAGATGTCTCTCCTTATAAGGAAGATGGATCTTTAGAGGTACTTCAGCTATCTTCATGAACTCTTCCTTCCCTCTCTCTCTCTCTCTCTCTCACACACACACACACACACACACTCACGGTTGGAAAGTGTAATAACTTTGATCTTCCTAGCAAAGCCAAGCTTCTGCTTTAATTTGCTTACAATTGAGCCTCATTCACAGATAGATTTTTCATCACTTGTTGATGTCCGTATCGTGGAGCATGGGAACTCAGATCCTGCAAAAGCAGTCACTAGCAGAGTTGATAAAGTTCCTATGTGCAATACAGATTCTGTATCGAGCACGGTACCTAAAAATAATGATAAACAAACAGTTGCCCCAACCCCAGGTATTTATCAATCAATGTTCTCCTCAATGCTCGAATGTTAGGTTGTTCATGAGGTGAAAAGTATGCAAGTTCACTTGTATGACGGGTTTTGACTATTTTCTCTGTAGAAAAAGAAGTAAATACGTGGGACGAAATCAGCGAGGCTCTGAACAAGAAGAAGGCACAACTATCTCAGGAGAACGGCTGGAACAAGGAGACTTCTGGCAGGAGCCCGTGGTCATACAGAGCCTTGAGAAAAAGTGCGCTTGGCCCAACCATGGCTCTTCTAAGATCGCGAAAGGACATTTAAGAATGTTCACCACTGTGAGGATGTATGAATGTGTGTTTAAGTGAAATTATGTCAATAGTATGTTTATGGACCTTTTAACAAAAGAGTAGGATTTGAGCTTGTGATGGCTGATCTTTGGAACCCTTCCCCTCTCGTAGAAGGTTTTTTAAGCTCAAACTAGGTCTCTGGAAATGTTGCTTCTGTTTGTCAATTTCCTGAGAAAACTTATCGAGCTTATCACCTGGTAAATGCATTTAAATTCAATTTGTTTGTTGTGTTGGTCCAAGTCTGATTTCTTCTTAATATGCATTCAAATTGGATAGCCACTTCCATTTAAAATTGAGTTAAAAAGTAAATTTATTTATAGCCCATTCTCTTAGAATTCCCTCAAATTTTTTGCCTCCGGTGTTTTTGAAAATTATTTTGGTGTTGTAACTTTACGAAAACATAAACATCGCATTAAAATATAAGGCGGAATGTTGTATGCTTTTTGGGTACATAATTCGTATGGATAAAATATAATTTTCTTTTCAAAAATATTATTGAACAAGCAAATGCCCATAGACCTAATTTTTTAATTAGTCAATTATGTAACAAATAAGAAAGTAAAACTGTCCACTTAATTATATTTAATATAAATAACCAATTAAAAATCATTCCGTTAAACAATTATTCGGAACGAGTATCACTGCTCAAAAATTAATTAACAATATTGAAAAATTCCCTGAAAATTCATTTCATGTTAACTTTCAAACAAATTAATAATTTACTACTCAAGCGTCATGCACATGTCCTGCACTCACGGCTTACTTGGTCGTTTTTTTTAACCCACCACTTTCATTTTTTTCGGTTGATTTATTCATTCGTGTGTGTGTGTGTGTATAAATACACACACACACACATATATACACACTAAAATAATCTTTCAAGCCAAAAAGAATTTATTCACATCAGCTTGCAAATCCTGAGCCCGGTTAAAATTCTTACCAACATCGATCCATTACAAGTCGTAACACATTTTAATAGTTTTCTGCTGAGTATAGGTCACCCGTACTCGTAATTCCAGCTCATTACCATAAACTTGTCTTTACACACCACCATTCTCTTTACCTTTTTTCCAATCAGTCCACCTAAAAAAAAACAAAAGAAGTGAATAATTTCTTTCAATACCAAAAATTCTGCCACCTATGATCAGAAAAGGAATATAGAAGTCCATAAAAAACAATAAGAATAAACAAGTGGCAAAAGCTAAAACCATCATCTATAAAGCAACACAGCATATCAATTACAAGAAGGGCACAGTACATCTTCATTTATATCAGATTCAAGTACATCTCTCTCTCTATCTGTCACACACACACACACAACACATAATAATAGGGGGGAAATTATGACTTGTCTATATAGTGTTTCCTAAAAAGAAAAAGAAAAAGGTTGATCTTGAAAAGATTGTAAATGGGTTGAAGCTGCTCTGAAAGTAAATGGGTTGGTTTCTCCAGCATCTAGAGGATGAGAAAAATGCAGAATTCTCGTTTATGGCTTATCTCGCCATACATGCTGCCGGGCCATGTTTGAGGCCACCAGGGATACTTGTGGTAATTATAAGAGGAAAATGAGGAGGTTGATGTTGAAAAGATTTGTCTTTAACATGCATCTAGGAAGAAAGATTCCGGTGTACATCTTGGTTAAATATAACCGCGTTTGTTAAAAGGCGGCCATAATGGAGGAACAAGTACTGAAACTTGTCCCAACAACTAGATCTCTCGCTGGAAAGGATGAATGGTGGAAGTAAGGACATGGAAACAGCTATCGAGATGAACTAGGAGTTTCGACCAGAGTTTCAGAAGGGTGGGAAGCACCAAGAGGCAGGTGAAGGCAGGGAGGGGATGCACTCGTTTCAGACCCGAGAAGGAAGAGTAAAGATTGTACGCCCCCAATATCCACCAGAGAACAAACAGTAAAATGAGATGGAGGACAGCTAATGAGGATCGTGGCAAACAAGGATTGGATTGGCCCAAAATTGCGGTAGAAAACGTACTAGTTCTCTCTTTTCATTTTTCTTTTTAATAAGATTTCAGTAAAGGCTTTCAGGAGGGGAGCGTTCCCAAGAGAGAGCACCAAAAAGCCCAGTACGGCCGACAATAATTTCAAATCATCAACAAATGCGCAAAATCCAGTACAGATTTACAATTCCTCCCATTTACCAAAAAGAATAAAGAACTCAAAATAATGTATTTGAGAGACTGAAGAGGACACTCCTCACTGTCAAAGGATCTTCCGTTTGTCTCTTGCCACAAGCCCCATCATAAACCTATGGGAGTCGATTTCCAAGCATATATTTGGCTCTAGTATCCAATGTACACCCGTACATCCGGAAACACCCAATGCATACCAAAAACTGTCACATAGGTCAAATATCCCTCGCCACAAAACAATTCCCTCCTGATGATATAATCTTCCTTAGTGCTGCTTAATATTCGATAAAAACCAACTTCGTGTGGCCCGCCACCCGGGGGAGGGGGGTTGTGAAAGAGCTTTTTAATCTCTAAATTGCCTTAAAAGTGAAGGAACGACCTGTAATCTGCATGACACTATCAAAATGATCAACTCCGAAAACCCCCATGGGAAGGCATTGCGTACCATCTCATCGTTCCTTTCCCCTCCACCACCTGACTGTACAACAAGACCATAAACTTTGCCAGTTTTGTAAGCTCCTAATCGTGAAAATCCCTCGAAACTGCACATCCCAAAGTCGTCCTCCCGCTATCAAGATGATGACAGTCTACAACCAATATCAATGGGCATGGTTCGACCGATCCAATTGTAGATAAAATGATTGGGGTTGATCAACTTGATGTTGGGATCGGCCGTGACAATTTAATTGGCAATGGGCTTGGTTAGGCTGAGCCATCTGAAGGGGGCTAACCAACACGACGTTGGGTGTGGTGGTGTAGATGGGCATCACAGCCAGTGTCTGATTTTCAACCACCAAGCAAATTTTAATCTGCCACTCGGGAGCCACAGCATGCTTGGGCCTCTTCAGGGAAATCTAGACAAATACCAACATGACTGTGTTGGCAAGGTTAAGCCACGCCCAATTCCAGCATCATACTTCTAAAAGGAATCTGAGAAGGTGGACTTGGGCCGAGAAAGATAAGTTGTACCTCAAAGGCAATCCAAGAGATGCTGGAAAAAAAATCTCAAAATTTCCAATTAGCCCAATCCACTGGTACAACACATTCAATCCAATAGAACTAATCTTCGTACTTGTTCTTCTTCGGGGATTTTTGGTTAGCTGGGTGTGATAGGGTTGCCAGAGTAATCACTACAGAGAGACCAGGCAAGGCCAACACATGGTGATAGGTTGGGTGATGACAAGTATCCCTGTCCAAAAGCCAAGAAAGAGTGGGGATCAATCTGAAAGCATGTTTGTAGCTTCTATAGAGATTAGTAAGGAGGAAAGGGGGATCATCCTTTGGGTTGGGAAAGGAATTCAGTTGGGTTGTGTGATGATTCAAAAGCTTCTTTGTTGCATGTACAAAAATTGAACATACTTTCGTCTTTGAAGGTTGAAGAAGACTTTGTGTTTGTGCATATAAGCTGTCTTTGTGCAGTTTTATGTGCCTAACTAAACGTGGTTTCTCATGTTTGCTCAACTTTTGACCACGCTTTTAATACACCACCTTTAATGGTCAAGATGATCCCACCTGTCTGTTGTGATGTGAAAAGCATTTGGCCACTTAACAAAAGTGAAAACTCTAATGGATTACAATTGTAAACCATTATCTACAACTGTATAAATGCTTTCAGTTGTACCGTTCTTTGCTTTTGGTAATATATATCATCTGTATATACAATATTGAGCTGTTGGTTGTTTGTTCTCCTTCTCTAACTTAACAAATGAGACAAACAAAGCCCGTAATAAAATAGAATTCCGCATCAAAAAGTAAAGCTCATATATCTACTTATCTACTTTTTACTAGAAAACTGATGTCTCAAAACTAAACAAACTTATAAATTTTCTTTTCTTTAAAGTGTACAACCACCCATGTCGAAATATTGGAGACTTTTTAGCTGAGTCCCCATACCTACACGGGTTGCATACAAGCCCAAGCAACCAATCCAAGCAGAAAATGGGAGGACTTGCACAAGTCCATCGGGTTGGGGCAGCTAGGACACAAAGGCCCAAAAGGGGTGAGTGTGACGTCCCACATTGCTTCGGGGGAGAAGTTGAACTGGCATTTATATGTGTGGACACCCCTTAACCATGTTTGCAAACGAGTTTTCAGCAAAACCGCGAGCGCTAAGAAGAGTGTGTGCAAAGTGAACAATATGTACACAAGCTGGCGGGTCGTGACGACAAATATGTAGGCCTATTCAGCTTTGTGGCTTAGGTGTTTGGAGGTTGAAGGACTTCAACAAAGCATTGTTAGACAAGTCCCATTGGAGATGTGTAGAGGAGCACAACTTGAGACGGAGGGTGACTTCATGCAAATATGGTGATTCTAGGTGCATATGGTACTCCATAGAGTTGAGAAGGTTTGGCTGGCGTGGGCATTTGGATACTCATGGAAAAAGTTCCGGATAGATTTCCAAAGCATATTTCATTCAAGATGTGCAATGGGAGACGGTAGATTGTAGCTGGATATCTGGTGTTTGGATAGACCACTCGCCTGTGCGTTCCAAAAGGCTATTCAGAATCGCAATGGCAATATTACTTCTAGAGAGTGCCACCAACCTAACTGGCTTATTTGCATAGTGAAATTTGGGTCCTGGTGTTGATTTCATGCAAGGGGGGACACATGAACCAAAATGGTCGAGTAGGCACATGTATAATAGATTCAAAATATTAAAATGACTAATAAATTCAAACTATCATGCAAAAAAGTATAAAGCTTAAATTACATACTTGAATCACCAAGGGCCAAAATAGAATGAAAAGCAAAGAAAACTATAACTCAAGTTTCAAGTCAACACTAACCTCTTTTCGATCCTTTCCTCAATCCTATCCTGTAGTCGAGACAACCTGTTATGAAAACAATTTAAGGACTTAAAGATATATTCTACTAAATTTTATATTGTTCAAAATTCATGCTAAGATACGTTAATATAGAGATTAATAGTGTCCAAATAACAGAAACTCTCAATAACAAAGATAAAAATTTCACATGCAAATCAAAAAGGCATAAACATTGCACGAGAACACCAAATGTCTCGAGCGTGTACTTATAGATGTACTGAAATATTTAAACATCTAGGCATTAAATGGACCCAAAGGGAGTTCGCTAAGCATTTTTCAACGGAATTAATAACGTCAATCAAATTTCAGGCACTAGTCATAATTGTGCTTTCTAAATGTATTTTAATTCATACAAATAATATTATAAAATTGATTGGTTGTTAAACCATATTTCTAAACAATGAAGTCACGGATTGTGCTAGTTCTTCAACATTATCATCCTTGCATTTATCCCATATGAATAAGGTCGGCCACATTTATTGTTTTTTCCATTCTTTTCTATCACAAGCCAACTACCCTAGGTTTTTTTACGGATCCTTATGATATCTAACCATTGAAGTCTTTTCTAATTATTACATATGTTAATTCTGGTTGCTCACCTTGTCTCATACCTTCATTGCAAAATGCAAATTAAACTCCCTCTTCGTACCCGTCCCTCTATGGGTCGCCTTTGCACATCTTCATGCCACCCAAGTTAACTCTCTCAAATCTTCTCACTAGAAGGCGCCAAACATAACTTTCCCTCACCTTATCATTTGTAATCCTATTGCTTCTGTAAGAATATATTTATTTATGTGTTTGGGCTAGTATTGTAATTCTTTATAATCTGTAGGCCATTGTGTAAATAGGCCATTCTTCTTATGTATATAGGCTTATGTTTGCTAGGGTTAATATATACATATATAACAGAGGGAATAGCACATTACGACACCCCATTATTTTTCCTCAATCTCTTTCTCCTCTCTCCTCACAACTTCTATTGACCCCTATCATCCACGTTAACATCCTTATTCCCCTACATCAATTCATTGTTCCTATTTCATTTTTTAGCGCCTTGGCCTTGAAACTGTCTCATGAAGATTTTCTTTTAGTTTTCAAGGCATTCGTTCATCACACACAATGCAACTAGCTTGTCACAATTTAGTATACCCTGCACCAATTTTACTAATTATGTCACCATCCGTCTAAGCATCCTTTTTTATATGACCCTAACTATAACAAATAGTCAGCTTGGACAATCCTTTGGTTTTGAAGTGCGATCTTACGTCATTACTATCCTCATTTTTTAAAAACTAAATTTAAATTCCATACATTCAAGTCTAATCAGACCAACTCTTAACCCATTGATTCTAAAGTATTTCTCCACCTTTCTGGTTTTACAGAAAAACTTTCTTTAAAAGTGTTCAGATTGCTTTTCAACCACTTAAACGCACTTTCATTTTGTGAAAAAAAAATGGTTTAGAAGTGTTTGGTAACCATTAAAAGTTTCAAATTTTAGCCCACTAGAGCTTTCTAAATTATAAACTGTGTTTCGAGTATAACTTTTATATTTTAGGTAATTGATTTTCATTAGACAATTTTACCCCTTCATATTTTTTATAAATAAAATTCAATCCCATTTTTTTATAAAGTCCAACTTTTATCAAATATTATAAAGCTCTATAGAAGGTCATTATTGTAAAATTAGTAATAGAAGTGCTTAAAACAATATTGTTACCAAACAAGCTCAAAAGTACTTTAACTGTGAAAAGTACTTTTATATAATGTATAACCAAAAACATAACATGCTTTTTACCAGCAGAAATTTTATGTCAGCTCTATTAATTAAGGCGTTTTTAATTCTAACAGCAACATCAAACGAGCCCCATGTCGCTGGCAAACAGCATGCACCATGGAATGTCCAATTGCAAGTCTTTTGTAACCTCATCTAGAATTATTGTGAATAAATATGTACCTTAGTATCTTACATTTATAGAAAAATCCCTAGTAGTGCGAACTCTAATATTCAGTTTAGATACATTTCTTTAAGAACTATATCATTTCTAAAGAAATTTGTTTTCCTTGTATAGCCCACTAAATTATCTTTCGCCACTCTTATCATATTCATTTTAAAGATATAAATAAAAACCAAAAGTGAATCTTTTTGCTTACCCCAACATTCTTCAACTAATTGTCTTCTTAATGGATATGGTACATTGCGGATTCCAACCTTATGTGCTTGTGATGTTTGGATAGCTGTCCTTTTGTGCTTGTGATCGGCCCTTTCGAGGAAAGGGAATAGGAAATCCTTCAAGGGAAGGAGACTTCTATAGAGGAGTTGAAATTCAATGTGCTTAGTTCCTTATTTTTATGTGCTCGAGGGAGGAATTGTAAATCTATGGAACTCCTATTGTCTTCTGTGGATAGCTTGATCCTTATTTTTATGGGCTCGAGGGAGGAATTGTAATTCTGCAGAACTCCTATTGTCTATTGTGGATAGTTTGTGGATAGTTTGCATATGTGATGCACTCCCCTTTCGAGTGGCTTTTCATTTAAACTTTACTTATAAAAATAATACTGAGATTTAGCAAAACTATTTTATGACAAGTAAACATAATCAATAGATACACAGAAACTTGTATAAGAAAGCATGCTAAAAAAAATAGAAAATATAAACTAAATAAATTAGGGTTAAGGAGTGCAAGTTTATAACGCTAGACGAAATCATGAAGGGCTTTAGGACTAGATGACATCCTTATTGAGGTTTGGAAGTATTTAGAGGATGATGGTATGTGTTAGCTAACAAAGTTGTTTAATAACACAATAACTAAGAGAGAGCCAAAGTAACCCAAAAATATTTTTATATTAGGCAATAACATATTCTATCTACCGATTAGCAAAACCCTAGTCACGAGATTATGAAGCCAGAACATTTGAGCTAAAATTTAAGCTCATTCTTATAAACAAGCTCTAAATAAGCAAAAATGAACAAATATGCTTCAACTCAACCCCAAACTTTTCATTACTTTGCAACCCACCCTCAAGATAAGAACAAATATGCTTCAACTCCTTGAGAAATTAAACTAAGAATATCTCCACATGGCAATTTAGCTCTGCAGTCAAGCTCTCCATTCCTCTCAGTATACTTCCCAACCTCCAAGCCGCTTTGCTTGCTTTAATGAAATTTGTTAATTGAGTAGGAACAGTAGAGGGCCTAGAGGCAGATTCTTTTAACTGATATTGTAGGGTCAATTGCAACAAACCTAGTCGAACTATTGATAATTAACAAAAAAAAAAAAAAAAAAAAAAAAAAAAAAAACCTAAACAAGAACATATCTACTTATGGCCAAAAATTATATGACGCCATGTAGTTTGTGATCCACTTAAGTTTATGGAGTCAAATTAACAATGGAAAAGGTGGGAACAACAAGGGCTAGAAGGTTTGAAACAAACAGCAGCCAAAAGGTTGACAAGGCCAAAACATGCAGCAAGAGCTTCAACAGATGAAAGGGTTTCAAGCTCCTAAGCTGCCCCAAATTCATAATAAGTGTTGTTTTGGCAGGTTTAAATCTTTTCTTTTTTTTTATTATTATTTTTTTTTTTGGATATAATCCAGGCAGGCAAGGGGGAATAAATATCACATCATTCCCGAGTGTTGTTTGACCCCGATTAAGACCATAAATCAGAGAAGAACAAAACTAATATGCACAAGAAGCAGGAAATCAAAAGAAACAAGTGCACAAAAAAAAATATATATATATATATATATGAATATTTGAAAGAGCTAACAGAAGCTGTGCAGCATTAACATGCTAGTAATTGAACTTTGAAAACAGAATCTTTAGTGCATAGAGAAACCGTGTAAAACATACCCGAGACCAAGTTTTTCACCAACAACACATCCAATCGCAATGTAATCCCTGCAAAAACTGTTGAGGAACATGGAGGCAAGAACGCATATGATACTAAATTTAAAATGAATTTAATAAAATATGAGGCACTACAAAGACACAAGCTTCTTACCGTAACCCAGTCTTTACTGCTACAGTCTCACACATCTTGTTGGTACTCTGCAAGCAATCAATTTTTTTCCCGGGAATTAAAAGTAAAATCAATCATTGCATAAATCATTTTTTTCGGGTCAAGCAATCATTCCATAAAAAGAAATTTTCAAACAAAGAAAAAAGCATCTAAATATGAAATTATTCACAAAATGGAGCTATGAAGCTCATATTGGATTCCGAAAAAAATTAAAGAACAAAATACTTAATTGTATGACATATGAAGGAATAAAATTAGGGTTTCCTCAAATAAACAAGAAACCTAAATACATAAGTAGCGAATAATCTTCTTCTCTTAGCAAAGCAATCAATCATTGCATAAATCATTTTTTTCGGGTCAAGCAATCATTCCATAATAAGAAATTTTCAAACAAAGAAAAAAGCATCTAAATATGAAATTATTCACAAAATGGAGCTATGAAGCTCATATTGGATTCCGAAAAAAATTAAAGAACAAAATACTTAATTGTATGACATATGAAGGAATAAAATTAGGGTTTCCTCAAATAAACAAGAAACCTAAATACATAAGTAGCGAATAATCTTCTTCTCTTAGCAAAGCAATCAATCATTGCATAAATCATTTTTTTCGGGTCAAGCAATCATTCCATAATAAGAAATTTTCAAACAAAGAAAAAAGCATCTAAATATGAAATTATTCACAAAATGGAGCTATGAAGCTCCTGATGGATTCCGAAAAAAATTAAAGGACAAAATACTTAATTGTATGACATATGAATTAATAAAATTAGGGTTTCCTCAAATAAACAAGAAACCTAAATACATAATTAGCGAACAATCTTCTTCTCTTAGCAAAGCAGGTATGAAAGAAGATGATGCAAGAACGAAGGAACACAAACACACACAAAAAAGGCAACGTACTTTGAGGACTGCCTTTCAGTTCTGCATTGCAAATCGGTAAAACCCTCAAACAGCGCAGTAGGCAGAGTTAGAAAATCCTAAACCATCCACAAATATGTAAAATTGATGCTATCAGAGAGTGAGTTTCTGTATCATTACCTTACACGAACGAAACCCACCGCTGCTTCTCTTGCGCTTTTGAGCTGACCGCGGGAAATGTATATATAATTACATTTAGGGTGAATTGCAAAAAATCCCCCTTGACTATTAGCTAATTGCGAAAAACTCTCCTCAACTATGATGTTTACCTTATTGTTTGAGAAAGAATTTCGGACGAAATTATTCCTTAACAGATTATTTTTCAGACAATTTATTTATTTATTTATTTTTTCTCTCTAGTCAAGCAAGGTATGTGAAGCGGTAAAGAAAAATTTCCAAAATAAAAAATGGAAAGCCAATAAAATCATATTTAAGTTATGTCTAACTATTATTAAAATAAAATTGAGTACAACCGCGCACAGGAGAGAGAAGATCCACCATGACATTGGAATAGAAGATTGAAAAATTAAACAGCTCAAGAACTCCTTCAGTGCACTTGATCTTTAACGGTCATTATAACAGTTAATTATTTTAAGGAAAATAATTAATAATTTGTCATGTTTCCTTAGTTCAATTTCTTTTTTTTTTCTTAATTAAATTATGCTATGCAGGTAAGTTGAACTAAAATTGGTAATTAAAAAGTAACATAATTTCTTTTTCAAATCTATATATATATATATATTTTTTAAAAATTTACTTACTTCGATAAAATGAAATACCCCAAGGTAACTTTTTGATAAGAAATTGATGTACTCAAAAGACCTAAAAATATGAAAGTTTTTTAATATGAAATGATATCATTGCCCTCTATTCAATTCACAATAATCTAATTATAAAGAATATTTAAGTAATTTAGTTTGAGATAAATGCATTTACCATCTCATCATATATTATTTTGATCCCACCACCTACTACTCGAAAATTATTTTGATTTCACAATTGGGTTTCTCGATCTACTGTTAGCTTGTGTTTGAAAGAATAAGAAGGCTTGCTTGAGGCGGAGAGAGAAAAGAGAAAAAATAAATAAATTGTCTGAAGAATAATTTGTTAAAAGGTAATTTCATCCAAAAAATTCCATCAGACAACCCATTGGAATAGTCCCCATTGGAATAGTTGACTAATTTTTTGCCAAAAATATTCGTAAGAGGGGTTTTTCACAATTGGGTAATAGTAAAAGGGTTTTTTTGCAATTCGCCCTTACATTTATATATATACACACACTATATATATATGGATTCATAATGGACAGAGGTTGGATTAGCAAAATTTTGATAATATATAAAGGAAAGTATATACAAAAAGGAAAATATTTGTTTGTATATATAGATACTAACATAGGTGTATCAATGTGAGGGAAGAGAAAAAATAAAAAATAAAAAATAAAAAAAAGGAAAAAAATAAAAGAAAAGAAATTACTAAGTAGGTGATTATATATATATATACACACACCATCCAAGTGAAGGAAGAGAAAAAAAAGTGTTAAAATGGTACTAATGGTACTTTTATCCTATAAATTTATTTTTTTAATGCACTATAATAGTAGACAACATTTAATTAATTTGCGTATAATTTTATGAATCCTAACCGATTAAAAAATGTAACTGTGCAATATTAGTATGCTACTGCTTTGGAATGGTGGACCCCACCACCACTCATTCATTTGAAATCCTTTAAATTCGAAAGATATATAATTTTTTTTAATGTAAAAATAAGATGCAAGGGTGATACAATAGAATGTAATGTCTTGAGTAATGTGATCAGTTTTTTTTTTTTTTTTGTCTCACACGTTTTATTTTATTTTTTGTTGGAAACTCGAAACCTTTGTCAATCACTTTAGAAGGCCACAGCACCCTTAATCGTTATGTATTCAGTTTGTCGATTAGAATTAACATGAATATTAAATACTTTATTTTAGGGTAGGACACAACAATGATATGTTTACTTTATTTTGGGTAGGACACGCAATGATAATCATTTTACAAATAAAAAAAAATTAAAACAATTTAAAATATGTTATTGTAGGTGCAAAATTTCGCCCAATCAATAATGATTAAGAAAAATAAAATAACTCACTCAAAAACAATAAAAATAAATAAGAACAGTGTGCAGAGAAGCGTAGAATTGCTTGATCCTTTATTGGAGGTCTTAGCCTCTATTTATATACAAAAGATTGCAAAATTATGGTAGGACTCGCGTTGCTTGCCCTCCAATTCTTTCTATATAACCATTCTTTTCTAATAGAGTTCTTTCCATTGTCGAATTTTCCATACATAGAAATTGCCTTGTACAGAACTTCCTATCCGAATTTTCCTTCTACAGTAAATCCTTCAAATGGTAGGACTTATGCATTCTTGGGCTAAATATATTTTGATCCGGCTGGGCTTGGGTAACAGGCCGGATGTTAAATACTCATACGCTGGGCTGACGACAAGCTAGGCTGATGACTTCTTGATTCGGCCTTGATGGAAGTTGGAGGACAAATAACAATGGTCTTGGGCTGTAAATACCCTCAACTTGGGCTTGAGCATGATGGGCCTTATATGTCCTTGGAATGTAGATATGGGTAGTGGTGACGTGTGCGCTTTTTATTGGAGGGAGTTTTTTCCCTCCACACTTTGCCCCAAATTCCATTTTTAATTGAGTGACGGCTCCTATTAAAGAGGGAATTGAAACCGGTTTTTACTTTGCTTCAGAAACGGTTCGTGGTCTTTCATTATTACTCCGTCACACAAGATTTTGCAAGAGTTACATTTGCCCTTACTGCAATTCTGCGTCCTTCATTCCATCGCTTCCTTCGCTTTATCAGGTTAGTTTCGCATCTTTCTCTTCAATCTTTCATTATGAGTACTTCATCTACTCCCGAACGTGTAGACCTTGGGGATTCTGAATCCACACCTTCATCTTCCCCCGTTCGTATTAGGGCTCCCCCTCCTAGGGTTTCTACAGATCGCCCTTCGTTGAATCCATTAGGTACTTCCCCTCTTCCAACCGAAACATCCACCTCAGGCTCTGATTATGTTCTTACCCATGAAGAGAAGAAAGCAATCATCTCTATTCGCCGCATCAAGTTCTCTATTGCTTCGGTAATGGAAGAATTTGATATTCCTGAGGGAGTAGAACTTGCAGAATATCCCGAGGGTGTCGATTTCACCTCCGGCGAGGGAATTGAGGAGGATGAGTTGCTTCTTTCGGTAGGGCACCTTAACGCCCTCCGATTCCCTCTTCATCCCTTCTATCATTTAGTTTTCAATAAGCTAGGTCTTGCCCCCCCCTTCAGGTAAATCCTAATTTCTTTCGCATCCTTTCGGCACTGTTGGTGCGCCGGAAATTAGAGGCTCTGGATTTGACCCTTGCCGACCTTCTGCTTACTTACAATATATCTAAGCATGGGACCGAACCTGGTCGCTTCTTTTTTACTTCTCCCCTTCATTAGAGGATATGCACGAACCTCCCTTCATCCGAAAAGAAATGGAAAGAAATGATGGTTGTAGTTAAAGGAAAATGGTTCGTGTCCCAATCAATTGCGCTCCCTATCCCGCGCAAATTCGGGAAATTAGGTATAGAATATTTAACCTCCCTTCATACCAAGTGTTCTGGCTGTTTTCCTTGCCAAGTCTTAATATTTCGCCGTATTTATGAGTTTCTTGGTGTTTTTTCAGCTACATTTCCATCCTCCGCAGCAAGGAACAGACTTTCTTTTCTTGAGGAACGAGTCTGGAGTGACCCCTCGCCTATCGAGGACCTGCTAACTTCTTCAAACCTCAAGGACATTGCCTCCAGTGCCGTTGCTGCAGACCTCATGGATCTGTCTCTACCATCTTTTGACAGTTTCCCCATGACTGAGGAGGAGATACAGAGGGCTGAGGCTTTAAAAAAGAAAGCCGAAGATGCCCAACCCTTGATCGTCATTGGATCAACTGAGGATGAAGTGGAGGTTGAGGAACCACCATTGAAGAAATCTCGCCTCAACCCCTCATCCTCTGGCAAGGGCAAGGTCCCTTCTAAAAGCAAAGGGAAAAAGGCTGGAGAGGCCGAACCTGAAGATGAAGTCAGGGCCTTTGTTCTAGCTGAGACTGGGGCTCCTTGGACTCCTTCCTTCACCAGGGCTGACAGGTCAGTCCTGCACTCAGGGGATTCTGTGATTACAGACCCTTCAGCTGCACTGGCGGTGGCTCGAGGAATGTGGCTCCCAAAGGACGAGGAAGCCATCAACCAAATGGGGTTGGAGCAACTACTCCCCTCTGCCCCAGTCCGGGCCATAGAGGTTCGCATTGCTCCTTCAGTATTATGTTACTCTTGTTTGCTTATGTTTCTACTTATGCTTATATTTGCTTCCCTGTTAAACAGAGTTTATACCACACCATGGCCCTCTGCGCCACTGCTGAAGCTCAATCCCTCTCCATCAAGAAGTTGGAAAAGGATCTTGACAATGCAGAGAAGAGAGCCACTACTGCCTCTACCAATCTGAAGATAGCTTCTGAAGCCAAGGATGCGTATAAGAGGCAGTTGTCAGCCTCTGAGGCTAAGGTGGATTCTCTTCAGGCCGAGGTTCAACGCCTGACCGAGGCTCTTACTACTTGCTTCAAGGCGGGGAAGCAAATGCAGGCGCGCTACTCTTGTCTGGCGCACCTGGCTAGTGCTAAAGCGTTCCGGTCTGGCTATAATCAGGGCTCAGGTCCTAAGACGATGGATTCGGACGCCTTTGACAAGAAAGTGGGGGTGCACTTCCCATACGATGAAGGGCCAAAGGCTTTGGAAGCTGAAATCCGCTTTGCCGAGATGGTGAAGGCACACCTGAAGGATACTCCTAGCTCCCCTGCTCCTGCGGCTTCAACTCCTCCTACCTCAAGTCCTAATGTAGTGGATGCTTTTGAATCTACTCCCTTCGATCCGAAGAGGAAGTAGAGCCATGTATTTTGTTTTTATGAACAACCTGTTTTGGGATAATGAATATAATTTTTTCGTTTTAGGCTTGCCTGACTTGTTTTTGCTGTATGCTCTTGATACTGTTCATATTTCTCTGTCTGGTAATGTGTTTAAACACTAAACATTGT